TATGACTGGCTCCAGTTTAACAGCAGAGGTCTCACTCCGAATCAGTCGAGCGGCAATATCTTTTCATCGGCTGCGTAACGCTGTGTGGAAGCTACCTGGTCTGTCGCTCCGCATTAAGCTTCAGGTCTTCTCGGCCACGATCATTCCCTCCCTTCTCTACGCTTGCGAAACGTGGACCCCCCTAATGGAACATCTTCGCCGGTTAGAAACATTTAGGCTGACCTGCCTACGATCCATCATGGGTTTAACCAGACTGGATTGTGTGAGGAGCTCACAAATCCTTGAAAGATCTGGGCAGGGTCCCATCGGTGAGCTCCTCCGGCAGGCAAGGCTGCGATGGCTGGGTCATGTAGCCCGCATGCCCAGCCACCGCATGCCGAAACAGCTTTTGTTTGGCCGGATTGAGGGGGCTAAGCGGGCGCGGCACGGGCTAGAGACGAGATGGAGTGATGTGGTACAGGAGGACGTGGAGCTGAGTGGACTTGCCGATGACTGGTACCAGCGGTGTCAAGATCGGCCTCTGTGGAGGAGGCTCGTGAAGGATGCTACTGGGCAGTTGGAGGCAGTCGCCCTCCAACAACAACGGAGGGCGGAGGAGCGACGCTCACAACAGCGAGCGGAGCGCCGGGTGGCTAAAGCACAGCAGGTTGGCACAGTAGGGGGCACAGGTGGTGCATCAGCCAGTCATCTCAGTCATCTCAGTCAGTCGACCCGTGGCACCTGGGTCTGCCCCGTGACCTCCTGCCAGCGGGCGTTCGACACTTCACGTGGCCTCAGGGTGCACATAGCCTGGCACAAGCGTCGTGGTGACGTCACCGCCACTTAGTGGCGAATGGCGGTTGTTGTTGTTGTTGAGGGGGAGAGAGGGAGGGAGGGTGAGAGTGAGTGAGAGGGAGAGGGTGAGTGAGAGAGTGAGTGAGTGAGAGGGTGAGTGAGTGAGAGGGTGAATGAGTGAGGGGGAGAGGGTGAGGGAGTGAGGGTGAGTGAGGGTGAGTGAGTGAGGGTGAGTGAGTGAGGGTGAGTGAGTGAGGGTGAGTGAGTGAGGGTGAGTGAGTGAGGGTGAGTGAGTGGACCGGTAGTGTAGCGGTTAGCGCGCTGCGCTATGAACCTGGCGACCCGGGTTCGATTCCCGCTCACGGCCAACACCAGTGACGATTATCTGAACCGGTCCCGGGCCTCCCCTAGGTCGACTCAGCCTTAAATGAGTACCTGGTGCGGTGTGTAAACATTGCCACTAGGGAGACAAAGGCGGTCGGGCGTGGTGCTGGCCACCCACCCCCTCGTGTACCGTTCCGGCCTTCATAGGTGCTCGCTAACAGCACTTGCCCCTACAGTCTGTTCAGGCTATATGGGGGATCTTTGTCTTTATCTTTGTGAGTGAGTGAGGGTGAGTGAGTGAGTGAGGGTGAGTGAGTGAGTGAGGGTGAGTGAGTGAGTGAGGGTGAGTGAGTGAGGGAGGGTGAGTGAGTGAGGGAGGGTGAGTGAGTGAGGGAGGGTGAGTGAGGGTGAGTGAGTGAGGGTGAGTGAGTGAGGGTGAGTGAGTGAGTGAGGGTGAGTGAGGGTGAGTGAGGGTGAGTGAGGGTGAGTGAGGGTGAGTGAGGGTGAGTGAGGGTGAGTGAGGGGGTGAGTGAGTGAGTGAGTGAGAGGGTGAGTGAGTGAGTGAGTGTGAGTGTGAGGGTGAGTGAGAGGGTGAGTGAGTGAGAGGGTGAGTGAGTGAGAGGGTGAGTGAGTGAGAGGGTGAGTGAGTGAGGGTGAGTGAGTGAGGGTGAGTGAGTGAGTGTGTGAGGGTGAGTGAGAGGGTGAGTGAGTGAGTGAGAGGGTGAGTGAGTGAGTGTGAGTGAGTGAGGGTGAGTGAGTGAATGAGGGTGAGTGAGTGAGGGTGAGTGTGAGTGTGAGTGAGTGAGGGTGAGTGAGTGTGAGTGAGGGTGAGTGAGTGAGGGTGAGCGAGGGTGAGTGAGTGAGGGTGAGCGAGGGTGAGTGAGTGAGGGTGAGCGAGGGTGAGTGAGTGAGGGTGAGCGAGGGTGAGTGAGTGAGGGTGAGCGAGGGTGAGTGAGTGAGGGTGAGCGAGGGTGAGTGAGTGAGGGTGAGCGAGGGTGAGTGAGTGAGGGTGAGCGAGGGTGAGTGAGTGAGGGTGAGCGAGGGTGAGTGAGTGAGGGTGAGCGAGGGTGAGTGAGTGAGGGTGAGTGAGTGAGGGTGAGCGAGGGTGAGTGAGTGAGGGTGAGCGAGGGTGAGTGAGTGAGGGTGAGCGAGGGTGAGTGATTGAGGGTGAGTGGGTGAGTGGGTGAGAGGGTGAGTGAGGGTGAGTGAGTGAGTGAGAGGGTGAGTGAGTGAGGGTGAGTGAGTGAGTGAGAGGGTGAGTGAGTGAGTGAGGGTGAGTGAGTGAGGGGGTGAGTGAGGGTGAGTGAGTGTGAGTGTGAGTGAGTGAGGGTGAGTGAGTGTGAGTGAGGGTGAGTGAGTGAGGGTGAGTGAGGGTGAGTGAGTGAGGGTGAGCGAGGGTGAGTGAGTGAGGGTGAGCGAGGGTGAGTGAGTGAGGGTGAGCGAGGGTGAGTGAGTGAGGGTGAGCGAGGGTGAGTGAGTGAGTGTGAGTGAGGGTGAGTGAGTGAGTGAGAGGGTGAGTGAGTGAGGGTGAATGAGTGAGTGAGGGTGAGTGAGTGAGGGGGTGAGTGAGTGAGGGTGAGTGAGTGAGTGAGAGGGTGAGTGAGTGAGGGTGAATGAGTGAGTGAGGGTGAGTGAGGGTGAGTGAGTGAGAGGGTGAGTGAGTGAGAGGGTGAGTGAGTGAGAGGGTGAGTGAGTGAGAGGGTGAGTGAGGGTGAGTGAGTGAGAGGGTGAGTGAGTGAGGGTGAGTGAGTGAGAGGGTGAGTGAGGGTGAGTGAGTAATGGTGAGTGAGGGTGAGTGAGTGAGAGGGGGAGTGAGTGAGGGTGAGTGAGTGAAGGTGAGTGAGTGAGGGTGAGTGAGTGAGTGAGGGTGAGTGAGTGAGGGTGAGTGAGTGAGAGGGTAAGTGAGTGAGGGTGAGTGAGTGAGAGGGTGAGTGAGGGTGAGTGAATGAGAGGGTAAGTGAGTGAGTGAGGGTGAGTGAGTGAGGGTGAGTGAGTGAGGGTGAGTGAGTGAGAGGGTGAGTGAGTGAGGGTGAGTGAGTGATGGTGAGTGAGTGTGGGTGAGTGAGTGATGGTGAGTGAGTGAGAGTGAGTGAGTGAGATGGTGAGTGAGTGAGTGAGGGTGAGTGAGTGAGATGGTGAGTGGGTGAGTGAGGGTGAGTGAGTGATTGAGGGTGAGTGAGGGTGAGTGAGTGATTGAGGGTGAGTGAGTGAGGGTGAGTGAGTGAGTGAGGGTGAGTGAGTGAGAGGGTAAGTGAGTGAGGGTGAGTGAGTGAGGGTGAGTGAGTGAGGGTGAGTGAGTGAGTCAGTGAGTGAGAGAGTTAGTGAGAGATTGAGAGGGTGAGTGAGTGAGTGGGAGAGGGTGAGTGAGGGTGAGTGAGTGAGGGTGAGTGGGTGAGGGTGAGTGAGTGTGTGAGGGTGAGTGAGTGAGGGTGAGTGAGAGGGTGAGTGAGGGTGAGTGAGTGAGGGTGAGTGAGCGAGGGTGAGTGAGTGAGAGGGTGAGTGAGTGAGGGTGAGTGAGAGGGTGAGTGAGTGAGAGGGTGAGTGAGTGAGAGGGTGAGTGAGTGAGGTTGAGTGAGTGAGTGAGAGAGTGAGTGAGTGAGTGAGGGTGAGTGAGTGAGGGTGAGTGAGTGAGTGAGGGTGAGTGAGGGTGAGTGAGTGAGTGAGGGTGAGTGAGTGAGTGAGGGTGAGAGAGTGAGGGTGAGTGAGTGAGGGTGAGTGACTGAGGGTGAGTGAGTGTGGGTGAGTGAGAGGGTGAGTGAGTGAGTGAGGGTGAGTGAGTGAGGGTGAGTGAGTGAGGGTGAGTGAGAGTGAGTGAGTGAGACAGTGAGTGAGTGAGTGAGAGGGTGAGTGAGTGAGAGAGTGAGTGAGTGCGAGTGAGTGAGTGAGGGTGAGTGAGTGAGTGAGGGTGAGTGAGGGTGAGTGAGTGAGTGAGGGTGAGTGAGTGAGTGAGGGTGAGTGAGAGGGTGAGTGAGTGAGTGAGGGTGAGAGAGTGAGGGTGAGTGAGTGAGGGTGAGTGAGTGAGGGTGAGTGAGTGAGGGTGAGTGAGTGAGTGAGGGTGAGTGAGTGAGTGAGGGTGAGTGAGTGAGTGAGGGTGAGTGAGTGAGGGTGAGTGAGGGTGAGTGAGTGAGACAGTGAGTGAGTGAGTGAGAGGGTGAGTGAGTGAGAGAGTGAGTGAGTGCGAGTGAGTGAGTGAGGGTGAGTGAGTGAGACAGTGAGTGAGTGAGAGGGTGAGTGAGTGAGGGTGAGTGAGTGAGAGGGTGAGTGAGTGAGGGTGAGTGAGTGAGGGTGAGTGAGTGAGTGAGGGTGAGTGAGTGAGGGTGAGTGAGTGAGGGTGAGTGAGTGAGTGAGGGTGAGTGAGTGAGTGAGGGTGAGTGAGTGAGGGTGAGTGAGTGAGACGGTGAGTGAGTGAGACGGTGAGTGAGTGAGGGTGAGTGAGTGAGGGGAGCGGTAGCGCTTAGCGCACTACGCTACAAACCCGACAAGTTCAATTCCCGCTCACGGCCAACAGTGACGATTCCATGAACTGGTTCTGGACCTCCCCGAGGTCGACTCAGCCTCAAATAAGTTCCTGATGAGGTTGTAAACGTCGCCACATTGGGAGACAAAGGCGGCCGGGCGTGGTGCTGGCCACCCTCCCCTTCGTGTGCCGTGCCGGCCTTCATCGCGAGCTTGCTACGCGCTAACAGCACTTGCCCCAACACGCTGTCAGGGCTACACGGGGGATCTTTGTCTTTGGAGAGGGTCAGGCCACGTGGAGGGGAGGGGCCGCATTCCACAGCGCAGGGAGGGGGGGGCTTCGGTGACGTCACCGGCCGTCACGTGCCCGGACTTTTGGTCGAGCGGACCTATACGTGGCGGTGCGTGGCCAGTGGTGAGCGAGGGGGGCGGGGGATGAAGGGGGAGGGGTAGAGGGGGGGTTCGGGTCCTCCCAGCTCCGCCGGGCACACGGTACCCCCACCTCGTCCACCTCCTCGTCCATCGCTTCCTCCTCCTCCTCCGTTCTCGCGACAAAGGGGGAGCTAGCGGGAGAGACAACGACCCCCCCCCCCGGGAAAAGCGAGCGAGGCTGGACCCTGAGCGAGGCTGGACCCTGAGCGAGGCTGGACCACTTGGCCCGGTACCCACGCTGAGCCCCACCGCGCTGTTCGCCAGTGGCACAACGCGACAGTGAGGCGCTGTGTGTGTTAGTGTGCTGTGTGTTAGTGCGCTGTGTGTGTTAGTGTGCTGTGTGTTAGTGTGCTGTGTGTTAGTGTGCTGTGTGTTAGTGTGCTGTGTTAGTGCGCTGTGTTAGTGCGCTGTGTGTGTTAGTGCGCTGTGTGTGTTAGTGTGCTGTGTGTTAGTGTGCTGTGTGTGTTAGTGTGCTGTGTGTTAGTGTGCTGTGTGTTAGTGTGCTGTGTGTTAGTGTGCTGTGTTAGTGCGCTGTGTGTGTTAGTGTGCTGTGTGTTAGTGCGCTGTGTGTGTTAGTGTGCTGTGTGTTAGTGTGCTGTGTGTTAGTGTGCTGTGTTAGTGCGCTGTGTTAGTGCGCTGTGTGTGTTAGTGCGCTGTGTTAGTGCGCTGTGTGTTAATGTGCTGTGTGTGTTAGTGTGCTGTGTGTGTTAGTGTGCCGTGTTAGTGTGCTGTGTGTTAGTGTGCTGTGTTAGTGCGCTGTGTGTGTTAGTGTGCTGTGTGTTAGTGCGCTGTGTGTGTTAGTGTGCTGTGTGTTAGTGTGCTGTGTGTTAGTGTGCTGTGTTAGTGCGCTGTGTTAGTGCGCTGTGTGTGTTAGTGCGCTGTGTTAGTGCGCTGTGTGTTAGTGTGCTGTGTGTGTTAGTGTGCTGTGTGTGTTAGTGTGCCGTGTTAGTGTGCTGTGTGTTAGTGTGCTGTGTGTTAGTGTGCTGTGTGTTAGTGTGCTGTGTGTGTTAGTATGCTGTGTGTGTTAGTATGCTGTGTGTGTTAGTATGCTGTGTGTGTAGTGTGATGTGTGTTAGTGTGCTGTGTGTGTTAGTGTACTGTGTGTTAGTGTGCTGTGTGTTAGTGTGCTGTGTGTTAGTGTGCTGTCTGTTAGTGTGCTGTCTGTTAGTGTGCTGTGTGTGTTAGTGTGCTGTGTGTGTTAGTGTGCTGTGTGTTAGTGTGCTGTGTGTGTTAGTGTGCTGTGTGTGTTAGTGCGCTGTGTGTTAGTGCGCTGTGTGTGTTAGTGTTCTGTGTTAGTGTGCTGTGTTAGTGTGCTGTGTGTTAGTGCGCTGTGTGTTAGTGTGCTGTGTGTTAGTGCGCTGTGTGTTAGTGCGCTGTGTGTGTTAGTGCGCTGTGTGTTAGTGTGCTGTGTGTTAGTGCGCTGTGTGTGTTAGTGTGCTGTGTGTGTTAGTGCGCTGTGTGTGTTAGTGTGCTGTGTTAGTGTGCTGTGTTAGTGTGCTGTGTGTGTTAGTGTGCTGTGTGTTAGTGTGCTGTGTGTTAGTGTGCTGTGTGTTAGTGTGCTGTGTGTGTTAGTGTGCTATGTGTTAGTGTGCTGTGTGTTAGTGTGCTGTGTGTTAGTGCGCTGTGTGTGTTAGTGTGCTGTGTGTTAGTGCGCTGTGTGTGTTAGTGTGCTGTGTGTTAGTGCGCTGTGTGTGTTAGTGTGCTGTGTGTGTTAGTGTGATGTGTGTTAGTGTGCTGTGTGTGTTAGTGTGCTGTGTGTGTTAGTGTGCTGTGTGTGTTAGTGTGCTGTGTGTTAGTGTGCTGTGTTAGTGTGCTGTGTTAGTGTGCTGTGTGTTAGTGTGCTGTGTGTTAGTGCGCTGTGTGTGTTAGTGTGCTGTGTGAGTGTGCTGTGTGTGTTAGTGTGCTGTGTTAGTGTGCTGTGTGGGTTAGTGTGCTGTGTGTGTTAATGTGCTGTGTGTTAGTGTGCTGTGTGTTAGTGCGCTGTGTTTGTTAGTGTGCTGTGTGTGTTAGTGTACTGTGTGTTAGTGTGCTGTGTGTTAGTGTGCTGTGTTAGTGTACTGTGTGTTAGTGTGCTGTGTTTGTTAGTGCGCTGTGTGTGTTAGTGCGCTGTGTGTGTTAGTGTGCTGTGTGTGTTAGTGTGCTGTGTGTGTTAGTGCGCTGTGTGTGTTAGTGCGCTATGTGTGTTAGTGCGCTGTGTGTTAGTTTGCAGTGTGTTAGTGTGCTGTGTGTGTTAGTGTGCTGTGTGTGTTAGTGTGCTGTGTGTGTTAGTGTGCTGTGTGTGTTAGTTTGCTGTGTGTGTGTTAGTGTGCTGTGTGTGTTAGTTCGCTGTGTGTTAGTGTGCTGTGTTAGTGTGCTGTGTGTGTTAGTGTGCTGTGTGTGTTAGTGTGCTGTGTGTTAGTGTGCTGTGTGTGTTAGTTTACTGTGTGTTACTTTCCTGGATGTTTTAGTTCGCTGTGTGTGTTAGTTTGCTGTGTGTGCTGGAGTGTAGTGGGGATGTATGTCTGTTGAACTGCTTTTGCACCGTATTCAGCCAACCGTGCAAATCGGAGGTGCGGTTAGTTCACTACACTATGAACCCGGCAAGCCGAGTTCGATTCCCGCTCACAACCATCAATACAAGCAACGATTATCCAAACCTGTGTTGGGCCCCCCCTATGTCGACTCAGCCTTAAACGAGTACCTGGCGATACGGTGTCTGGACATCAGCGCTGGGGAGAGACATCAGGGGGCGACCGGGCAGGCCTGGTGCCAGCCTGCCACCCCGTCGTGTGCCGTGCCGTGCCGGCCTTCACAGGTGGCACTTGCCCCAGCAAACTGTTAAAGGCCACACGGGGGACCTTTGTCTTTGTCTGTGTAACCAGGTCATCGCCGCATCGCCATGAATCTCTCCCCTCCACGCGCCTCCTCGTGGCCATCATCGCTCAGCACGCGTGGTGGCCCAGTGGGCCTCTCCACCTCCACCCGACCCCTCCGGCCCCTCCTGCTGCTGCTGCTCCTCGCGGCCTCCTGGCCGGGCCCCGGGAGCTGTAAGCCGGCGGTGCCGCGGGTGTCCCCGCTGCGCGACCGCGTGGCCCCCCCGCGTCTCGACGCCGAGGGGGAGCAGCGGCGCCCCGAGGAGGTGCCCCCCCCCATCCTGGACCCCGAGGAGGCGCGAGCCTTCGAGAGCCTCGGCCCCGAGCAGAGCAAGCGGCGGCTCGCGTGAGTGAGCGGCCGCCTCGTCCTTCGTCGTCCTCATCGGCAGCACCGCTATCGTCATCGTCCTTCCTCGTTCCTTTACCTCCTCGCTCCTCCTCCCGATCATCGTCACCCTCGCGTCTCCTCCGCCTCAAGCTGCCCGCCGCATCCGGCGTCGCGATGGGCCTCCCCATGGCGGTGGTGACGGCGGTGGTGTCGATTCTCTGCGTGGTGACGGCGGCGGTGCAGGGCGCTCGTGGAGCGGATGGACGCGGACGAGGACGGGCTGGTGTCGCACTCCGAGCTGCGTGCGTGGATCAAGTTCACGCAGCGGCGCTACGCGGCCGAGGAGGTGGCACGCCACTGGCGCGAGTACGACGCGGACCGCGACGACCACGTCTCCTGGGACGAGTACCGCAACACCACCTACGGCTTCTACTTCGGTACGCCGGCCGTCCGCGTGCTCCGTACGCAGTCCATGTTGGTGTTGGTAGCGATGTCGGGGGCGACGAGGTGATGTGGTGCACGCCCCCAGAGGAGGACGGTGGCGATGGTGGCGACGGTGAGGAGGGCGGTGGGTACCGGCGAATGTTGGCGCGCGACCGGCGCCGCTTCTCCCACGCGGACGCCGACACGGACGGGCGGATGACTCGGGAGGAGTTCTCGGCCTTCCTGCACCCCGACGAGCACGAGCACATGGCCGAGCTCGTCATCACGGTGCGCGCATGTGTGTGCCAGTGCGTGTGTGCCAGTGCGTGTGTGCCAGTGCGTGTTTGTAGTGGGTATGTGCCAGTGCGTGTGTGTGGTGGGTATGTGCCAGTGCGTGTGTGCCAGTCCGTGTGTGCCAGTGCATGGGTAGTGCACGATAACAGCACTCTCCCCAACATTCTGTTAAGACTATATGGGGGATCGTTGCCTTTGTATTTGCCAGTGTATGTTTGTGCCAGCGGTCATGTGCCACAGTCCGGTTGAGGAGCGGTTAGCGCTACGCTGCGCTATGAACCCGGCGACCCGAGTTTGAGTCCCGGCTCACAGCCAACACCAGAGACGATGATTTGAACCAGTCCTGGGCCTCCCCTAGGTCTACTTTGCCTCAAATGAGTACCTGGTGCGGTGTGTAAACATCGCTACTGGGAGACAAAGGCGGCCGGGCGTGGTGCTGGCCACCCACCCCCCCCCCCCCCTCGTGTGCCAGGCTGGCCTTTGTCAGTGGTCGCTTACAGCACTTACCCCAACAGTCTGTTAAAGGCTACACGGGGAGTCTTTGTCTTTGTTCCTCCTCCTGCTCGCTCCCCAACCATGGATATCCCCTCTTCCCCCGTGTCATCGCAGGAGACAATTGAGGACCTCGACAAGGACGGGGATGGGACGATCGACATTGAGGAGTACATTGGTAAGACGCCGTTAAACGCATCGCCACCACGTCGAAATCTGATCGCCTTCGCAATCACCGTCGTCAACAACAGCAATCTTCTCACTGGTCTCATCGTTCTTGTGACGAACAACTCCACTTGCTGTTGTCGTGGAATCTCAAAATCACCATCGTCATCATCATCTGACGTCCACCACCGTGGCGTCCGCCGCAGGGGACATGTTCTCGCGAGAGCCGAGCACGGGCGACGACGCGGCCGGGCTGCAGGAGGAGCCCGAGTGGGTACGGACGGAGCGGGCGCAGTTCCTGGCGGTGCGCGACACGGACGGCGACGGCAGGATGGGGCGCGCCGAGACACGAGCCTGGGTGCTGCCCAGTGACTACGACCACGCCGACATCGAGGCCCAGCACCTGGTTCACGAGAGCGACGCCGACGCGGTGAGCAGAGAGCGACGGAGAGAGAGTGAGCGACGCGGTCAGACGGAGATAGTGTGTAACAAAGACAAAGATAGTGTGTAACAAAGACAAAGATAGTGTGTAACAAAGACAGAGATAGTGTGTAACAAAGACAGAGAGTGTGTAACAAAGACAAAGATAGTGTGTAACAAAGACAGAGATAGTGTGTAGCAAAGACAGAGATAGTGTGTGACAAAGACAAAGATATTGTGTAACAAAGACAGAGATAGTGTGTGACAAAGACAGATATAGTGTGTAACAAAGACAGAGATAGTGTGTAACAAAGACAGAGATAGTGTGTAACAAAGACAAAGATAGTGTGTAAAAAAGACAAAGATAGTGTGTAACAAAGACAGAGATAGTGTGTAACAAAGACAGAGATAGTGTGTGACAAAGACAAATATAGTGTGTTGCAAAGGCAGAGATAGTGTGTGACAAAGACAGATATAGTGTGTAACAAAGACAGAGATAGTGTGTAACAAAGACAGAGATAGTGTGTAACAAAGACAAAGATAGTGTGTAAAAAAGACAAAGATAGTGTGTAACAAAGACAGAGATAGTGTGTTGCAAAGACAGAGATAGTGTGTAACAAGGATAGTATGTAACAAAGACAAAGATAGTGTGTAACAAAGACAAAGATAGTGTGTAACAAAGACAGAGATAGTGTGTAACAAACACAGAGATAGTGTGTAACAAAGACAAAGATAGTGTGTAACAAAGACAGAGATAGTGTGTAACAAAGACAGAGATAGTGTGTAACAAAAACAAAGATAGTGTGTAACAAAGACAAAGATAGTGTGTAACAAAGACGGAGATAGTGTGTAACAAAGACAGAGATAGTGTGTAACAAAGACAACGTGTGTAACAAAGACAGAGATAGTGTGTAACAAAGACAGAGATAGTGTGTAACAAAGACAGAGATAGTGTGTAACAAAGACAAAGATAGTGTGTAACAAAGACAGAGATAGTGTGTAACAAAGACAGAGATAGTCTGTAACAAAGACAGAGATAGTGTGTAACAAAGACAGAGATAGTGTGTGACAAAGACAAAGATAGTGTGTAACAAAGATAAAGATAGTGTGTAACAAAGACAAAGATAGTGTTTAACAAAGACAAAGATAGTGTGTAACAAAGACAGAGATAGTGTGTAACAAAGACAAAGATAGTGTGTAACAAAGACAAAGATAGTGTGTAGCAAAGACAGAGATAGTGTGTAACAAAGACAAAGATAGTGTGTGACAAAGACAAAGATATTGTGTAACAAAGACAGAGATAGTGTGTAACAAAGACAAATATAGTGTGTGACAAAGACAAATATAGTGTGCGACAAAGACAAAGGTAGTGTGTGACAAAGACAGAAATAGTGTGTAGCAAAGACAGAGATAGTGTGTGACAAAGACAGAGATAGTGTGTAACAAAGACAGAGATAGTGTGTAACAAAGACAAAGATAGTGTGTAACAAAGACAGAGATAGCGTGTAAAAAAGACAGAGATAGTGTGTGACAAAGACAGAGATAGTGTGTAACAAAGACAGAGATAGTGTGTGACAAAGACAAAGATAGTGTGTAACAAAGACAGAGATTGTGTGTAACAAATACAGAGATAGTGTGTAACAAAGACAGTGTGTAACAAAGACAGAGATAGTGTGTAACAAAGACAGAGATAGTGTGTAACAAAGACAAATATAGCGTGTAACAAAGACAGAGATAGTGTGTAACAAAGACAGAGATAGTGTGTGACAAAGACAGAGATAGTGTGTAACAAATACAGAGATAGTGTGTAACAAAGACAGAGATAGTGTGTAACAAATACAGAGATAGTGTGTAACAAAGACAGAGATAGTGTGTAACAAAGACAGAGATAGTGTGTAACAAAGACAGAGATAGTGTGTAACAAAGACAGAGATAGTGTGTAACAAAGACAGAGATAGTGTGTAACAAAGACAGAGATAGTGTGTAACAAAGACAGAGATAGTGTGTAACAAATACAGAGATAGTGTGTAACAAATACAGAGATAGTGTGTAACAAAGACAGAGATTCCCCCCGTATAGCATCAACAGACTTTTTGGAGCAAGTGCGGTTAGTGAGCAGCACCTCACTAAGGTCGGCACGGCACACGAGGGGGTGGATGGCGATGTTTAGATAATCATCACTGGTGTTGGCCTTAAGCGGGAATCGAACTCAGGTCACCGGGTTGGTAGCGTAGCGCGCTAACCGCTGCACCACCACTCGCCGTCCTGCGCTTTCTCTCACACTCTGCATCTCACCTGCTACAGATGAGCAGGTGTAAAAACGTGCACACCTGTAACACATACCTGTAACACACACCTGTGTCACCTGTGACTATGGTGATGACGACGATGACGTCTCAGATGGTGATGATGGCAATGATAATGATGATGTGTGTCTAGTTCTGGTGGTGATGATGATGATGTGTGCCTAGTTCTGGTGGTGGTGATGATGATGATGTGTGCCTAGTTCTGGTGGTGATGATGATGTGTGTCTAGTTCTGGTGGTGATGATGATGTGTCTAGTTCTGGTGATGATGATGATGTTTGTCTAGTTCTGGTGGTGATGATGATGATGTGTGCCTAGTTCTGGTGGTGATGATGATGATGTGTGCCTAGTTCTGGTGGTGATGATGATGATGATGTGTGCCTAGTTCTGGTGGTGATGATGATGATGATGTGTGCCTAGTTCTGGTGGTGATGATGATGATGATGTGTGCCTAGTTCTGGTGGTGATGATGATGATGATGTGTTCCTAGTTCTGGTGGTGATGATGATGATGTGTTCCTAGTTCTGGTGGTGATGATGTGTGTCTAGTTCTGGTGATGATGATGATGTGTGTCTAGTTCTGGTGATGATGATGTGTGCCTAGTTCTGGTGGTGATGATGATGATGTGTGTCTAGTTCTGGTGATGATGATGATGATGTGTGTCTAGTTCTGGTGATGATGATGATGTGTGCCTAGTTCTGGTGGTGATGATGATGATGATGTGTGTCTAGTTCTGGTGATGATGATGATGATGTGTGTCTAGTTCTGGTGGTGATGATGATGATGTGTGTCTAGTTCTGGTGATGATGATGATGATGTGTGTCTAGTTCTGGTGATGATGATAGTGATAATTGTGGCGGTGGTGGTGACGAGGTGAGCAGGACGGCAAGCTGAGCGTCGAGGAGATCCTCAACAAGTTCGACCTCTTCATCGGCAGCCAGGCGACCAACTTCGGCGAGGAGCTCAAACGCCACGACGAGTTCTGAGACCTCCCCCCCCCCCTCCCTTACTCGCTGCCGAGACCGCGGGGGTTAAGGGGCCACGGGAAGATGCGCGTGGAAGGGGGGGGACACGCACGTGCGATCGCTGGACAATCAAATCAGTTGGGGAGCCCCAAGCCGGTGGGTGCTCGCACGCCGTTCCGACAGCGCTCGGCGCTGTCACACGGACGGACGGAGACGCCGTGTTTCACAGATGGGTATTGTGTCGCTCGTCCGCTCGCCAACACGCAGGATCGTCCGCTCACATGCTCGCTCGCCTACTCATCCACCTACTCGCCCACCCACCCACTCGCTCACGCACCCACTCGCTCACTCACCCACCCACTGGCGGTCCACTCACCCACCCACTCGCCCACTCACCCACCCACTCGCCCACTCACCCACCCACTCGCCCACTCATCCACCCACTGGCCCACTCATCCACCCACTGGCCCACTCACCCACCCACTCGCCCACTCACCCACCCACTCGCCCACTCATCCACCCACTGGCCCACTCACCCACCCACTCGCCCACTCATCCACCCATTGGCCCACTCGCCTACTCACTCACCCACTGGCCCACTCACCCACTGGCCCACTCACCCACCCACTGGTGGACCACTCACCCACCCATTGGCCTACTTACCCACCCACTCACCCACCCAGTGACCCACTCACCCACCCAGTGGCCCACTTACCCACCCACTCGCTCACCCACCCACCCATTGGCCCACTCACCCACTCACCCACACACTCGCTCACCCACCTACCCACTCAACCAACCGTGGGTACATTTGGAGTTTGCGCCATTCCCCCAGTGCAAGGCTGTATGCTTCACAGACGGGTACCGTCCGCACGCGTTTCGTAGTAGCGGGCGACGTTGTGATGACGTTTCCCAAGAGAGGCATTTGTGGGGCCATTTTTTATTGGACAGTGACGAAAATGACGTCACGGGACCTTTAACGTCCGCTGTGAGCAAAGCAGATGGCGCCTAATACGTGTACCACGGTAACATTATAACAGTTACTGTACCACGGTAACATTATAACAGTTACTGTACCACGGTAACATTATAACAGTTACTGTACCACGGTAACATTATAACAGTTACTGTACACGGTTACACCCGTCCTATTGCAGTAAATCTGAAACTTGCAAGCGAAAAGCAGATCGCGACGTGATATTTATTGCACTAATTCGTGTGCAATTAGTAAGGGCACGGTGACACAAACTTATTTCATTTAAAGGTTATAATCCCTTGTTCATCATGACGTCCTTTTTACTTCGATGTCTCAACAACAGCGTCACGGAGATCACGTGACGTGAGGGTTCTGCCTTTGTAGTGAGGGTTGCCAGTTGACGCTGAGGAGGGGGGAGGAGGCGCCCCCCCACCCATATGGAGTGACGTCACCCGCTAATTATTATTAATGGAGGGGGGGGGGGTGCTGCGTGTGGAGTGACGTCACGCGCGTTACACAAACACATTCTTGGCTCACTATAGTAGTAATAGTATAACCAGGGCGGCCGCCGGGATTGAACTGACGAGGTGATGCGCCACACCTGTCACTCTCAGGTGAGAGGGATACCTGTACGGCCAGGTGACGTGAACACTGATACTCTCGCTGTGAAACACTCCTCCTACTGGACTGGGGTGCACCTGTAATGTTTGAGGTGTACACCTGCAATCTCTCAGGTGAACACCTGCAGTCTCTCAGGTGAACACCTGCAGTCTCTCAGGTGAACACCTGCAGTCTCTCAGGTGAACACCTCTAATCTGCAGGTGCAGATAATAAAGGTAAAGGCGCCAACCGTGCTAACCGGAGGCACCTCGATGCAAAGATTGCGAGGGGTTGGCATCTTGAAGAGGCCACGTGAGCGAAGCCCCTTGTTTAGGGCCCGGGGAGACAAAGACGGATGTGGGTGGTCACGTGATCACTGTCTCGGGTCGCCGTGTGCTACTGCTGCTGCCGTCCCCGTGGGTTTTTTTTTAAGGCCGTGCGTTGTTGTTGTTGTTTACTGTCGCCTATCGTCGTCATTTGTTATTGATTTGTGATTTAGGCCACAATGAACTGGCCAAATTGTTGTTGTGTAAGCCCTCCACCACCCGACAAGGATAAGCTCACCCACAGCTCACCCGGTGAGCCGAGCCGAAATGATCACAACCGGCGCTTGTGCCACGGGTGTGACAGTGGAATTGGTATGGCCTTGTCGGGTGGTGGAAGGCTTTCTCAACAACATTTTCGCCAGATCTTTACGTGGCCCAACGCGAACATCAACATCGAACCATGATATCGGCTGCGAGATCATACGCGTTGAGTTGTTGATGGCGGTTGTTGTTGGTGGTGATTAATTATTGTAAAGAAACGTTGAGAATCCTGCGGCAGTCTGAGAGCCTGGATCAGCACTCCGAACTCGCGTCGACTGGAGGTTAAGCCGAGAGCTGCAGAGTTCATCAGCAGAGCACGGCGTGTGAGTGTGGGCCGGTGTGAGAGAGAGTTTGACCGGCACAGGCTGGAGAGGAGATGGACTGATATGGCACAGGAGGATCTGGAGTGGTATTAGTGGTGTCAAGAAGGCATCTGTGGAGGAGACTCGTGAAGGACGCTACTGGACATCTCGCTCACATGCTGCAGCACAGGGGGAGAACTGACCAACTCTGCACACTCTCAGTCAAAGACTGTAGAACGGGGAGAACACTCTCACACCACGCACTCTCTCACACTCTCACTCCACGCACTCTCACACTCTCACTCACACACCGCAGCACAGGGGGGAGAACACACAAACTCTACACACTCACACACTGCAGCACAGAGGAGAGAACACACAAACTACACTCACACACTGCAGGACATGGGGGAGAACACACAAACTACAATCACACACTGCAGCACAGGGGGAGAACACACAAACTACACTCACACTGCAGCACAGGGAGAGAACACACAAACTACACTCACACACTGCAGCACATGGGGGAGAACACACAAACTACACACTCACACACTACAGCACATGGGGGAGAACACACAAACTACACTCACACACTGCAGCACAGGGGAGAGAACACAAACTACACACACTGCAGCACAGGGGAGAGAACACACAAACTACACTCACACACTGCAGCACAGGGGAGAGAACACACTCTACAAACTCAAACACTGCAGCACAGGGGAGAGAACACACAAACTACACTCACACACACTACAGCACAGCGGAGAGAACACACAAACTACACACTCACACTGCAGCACAGGGGAGAGAACACACAAACTACACTCACACTGCAGCACAGGGGAGAGAACACACAAACTACACACTCACACTGCAGCACAGGGAGAGAACACACAAACTACACTCACACACTGCAGCACAGGGGGAGAACACAAACTCTACACACTCACACACTGCAGCACAGGGGAGAGAACACACAAACTACACTCACACACTGCAGCACAGGGGAGAGAACACACTCTACAAACTCAAACACTGCAGCACAGGGGAGAGAACACACAAACTACACTCACACACACTGCAGCACAGGGGAGAGAACACACAAACTACACTCACACACTGCAGCACAGGGGAGAGAACACAAACTACACTCACACACTGCAGCACAGGGGGAGAACACACAAACTACACTCACACACTGCAGCACAGGGGGAGAACACACAAACTACACTCACACACTGCAGCACAGGGGAGAGAACACACAAACTACACTCACACTGCAGCACATGGGAGAGAACACACAAACTACACTCACACACTGCAGCACAGGGGAGAGAACACACAAACTACACTCACACTACAGCACAGGGGAGAGAACACACAAACTACACACTCACACTGCAGCACAGGGGAGAGAACACACAAACTACACTGACACTACAGCACAGGGGAGAGAACACACAAACTACACACTCACACTGCAGCACAGGGGAGAGAACACACAAACTACACTCACACACTGCAGCACAGGGGAGAGAACACACAAACTACACTCACACTACAGCACAGGGGAGAGAACACACAAACTACACTCACACACTACAGCACAGGGGAGAGAACACACAAACTACACACTCACACTGCAGCACAGGGGAGAGAACACACAAACTACACTCACACACTGCAGCACAGGGGAGAGAACACACAAACTACACTCACACACTGCAGCACAGGGGAAAGAACACACACACACTACACTCACACACTGCAGCACATGGGGGAGAACACACAAACTACACACTCACACTGCAGCAAAGGGGAGAGAACACAAAATCTTCTGGCGCCCCAGTGGGGAATCGAACCCAGGACCCTTCTTACTGTGAGCGCCGGTGTCACCACAGCACCAGCACCCTGGTGTGCCGTTTAATACGACTTGGCAGTCGCGAAGATGTCACATCTGTCGACGACTGCCCCTTCATTACAAACACTCACTGCATTACACTCACTGCATTACACTCACTCACTGCATTACAAACACTCACTGCATTACACTCACTGCATTACACTCACTGTATTACACTCACTGCATTACACTCACTGCATTACACTCACTGCATTACAAACACTCACTCACTGCATCACACTCACTCACTACATTACACTCACTGCATTACACGCACTGCATCACAAACACTCACTGCATTACACTCACTGCATTACACTCACTCACTGCATTACACTCACTGCATTGCACTCACTGCATTACACTCACTGCATTACACTCACTCACCGCATTACACTCACTGCATTACACTCACTGCATTACACTCACCGCATTACACTCACTGCATTACACTCACTCACTGCATTACACTCACTGCATTGCACTCACTGCATTACACTCACTGCATTACACTCACTGCATTACACTGACTGCATTACACTCACTGCATTACACTCACTCACCGCGTTACACTCACTGCATTACACTCACTGCATTACACTCACTGCATTACACTCACTGCATTACACTCACTGCATTACACTCACTCACCGCGTTACACTCACTGCATTACACTCACTGCATTACACTCACTCACTGCATTACAAACACTGCATTACGAACACTCACTGCATTACAAACACTCACTGCATTACACTGACTCACTGCATTACACTCACTCACTACATTACACTCACTGCATTACAAACACTCACTACATTACACTCACTCAATGCATTACACTCACTCACTAACTGCATAACAAACACTCACTACATTACACTCACTCACTGCATTACAAACACTCACTGCATTACACTCACTCACTGCATTACAAACACTCACTGCATTACAAACACTCACTGCATTACACTCACCGCATTACAAACACTCACTGCATTACAAACACT